CAATTACTGAGTATTTAGAAAATACCTGGCCAAATTTCAATGATCACGATGTTGAAGTCCTTTGGAATAAATTTAAAAATATGTGTTTATTCTGTTTGCGAAACTTCGTACCCGATAAAGTTAAGAAGACCGCTAAATATACGCCCTGGATATCTAGATCTATAATTCACCTTAAACGCAAAGCCAAGCGCTTGCAAAAAAAACGTACAGAGCCTCAACAACTCGCCAAAATTCGTGCTACCCTTTTCAATGCTATTACTCGTGCCAAAAATTTCTACTTTAACACTACTTTACCGAACTTCCTAAGAGAGGAATCACATAAATTCTGGAACTTTATTAGACAGCGCAATGAAAACATAACTGAAATTTCAGTCGACGGATCTAAATTGACTAATCCTCGAGCAATCGCGAATCACTTCAATTTGTTTTTCCATGGCGTATTTTCGCAGTCTCAGTTGAAACAGAGTAATTCAATAGCTTCATACCCTGATGTCAATATTGTTTTGCACAATGGTGTCTTAAATATGTTACTTCGATTAAAAAACAAATCGACGCCAGGGCCTGATGGCATCCCGAACGCATTTCTCCGTCGTTATGCTGAAACTTTGACGAAATTTCTTGTACTTATTTTTGAATCTTCTCTTTGTACGGCCACGCTACCTTCTGATTTTAAAATAGCCCGTATCGTACCTATTTCTAAAAAAGGCGACCCACTCTTAATTCCCAGCTACAGACCCATATCTATGTTATCATCCGCCTGTAAGTTACTTGAACACGTTGTTTCTACGTTCATTACACAATTTTTAGATACCCATCAAATCCTTTCTCCATTTCAACACGGGTTTCGCAAGGGATTCTCAACCGTCACTCAACTACTTACAGTTGTTCACCACGCTTCTTCAGTTCTTGATAAGGGGGGACAGGTTGACCTCATACTCTTAGATTTTAGTAAGGCCTTCGATCGCGTATCGCACGACAAATTAATCGATAAATTAGTTCAAATCGGGCTTCCAGCGTTCATCGTCTCTTGGCTAACTGCCTATTTAAGTAACCGTAGACAGTACGTCGACATTAATGGAAGCACTTCTGACGCTCTCCCTGTTACGTCTGGCGTACCGCAGGGAAGTGTGCTAGGCCCTTTACTTTTCCTTATTTTTTGTAATGACATTGTTAACGTTATAAACAGTCCGGTCCAAATACGTCTTTTTGCAGATGACTGTATACTTTTTAATGAAATTAATAGCATCGAGGACCAACTTGCGTTAAACTCGGCATTAGAAAACGTTGCTTCTTGGAGTAAAACTACAAACATGCAATTAAACCATGACAAAACAGTTTACCTCCGAATGACTAGAAAGAAACACCCCCTTGAATTCTCTTATTGTACTTGTGACCAACCGCTTAAGCAAGTAGATGAACACAAATATCTTGGCGTAACATTAACCAGTACCTTAAGTTGGAACTCTCACATAACTAACATATGCGCTGCCGCTTTCCGTAAACTTTGTTTATTACGACACAAACTCAAAACCGCTCCCTCCGAGGTTAAATACTTAGCATATACTTCTATAATTAGACCTAAACTTGAATATGCCTGCGTTATTTGGGATCCTCACACTAAAAGCAATATCGAATGCCTCGAAAGAATTCAAAGAAGGGCCGTCCGCTTTATTTATGGTATGTACGGTCCAACAGACTCCGTTTCTGCCCAGATGGAAAGACATGGTATCCCAACGTTAGAATCACGACGTAAATCATTTAGGCTAAAATTACTGCACCAAATGGTTAACCGGGAGCTCTTATTTGATCACAGCCCCTACATTAGTCGCCTGGAAACACGGCGCGGTCGTCATTCACACTCCCTTGCCTTAACTCCGTATTTCTCCAAAACTAATCTCTTCAAAATTTCGTTTTTCCCGCGCACAATCTGTGAGTGGAACAATTTACCGTGCCGCCGCCCTGCTATCGACAGATTCTATTGACGCACATGTTTTCCTGAGGATGTAAAAATGTTTTGCAGTTATTTTTCTCTCTTACTTTCAGTGCCTTGTTGTTTCCCTTTGATTCCCTTTGCGATTCACACATTCCCACTTAAATCATCGCTGTTACGATAAGTTTGGTTGCATTGTTGTTGTATGTGTGTGATGATTGAATTATTGTATGCTGTGTGATGTTTGGCTTGATTGCCTTACTGCCTGTACAATTCCTGCTTGGGCTCCATGCCTGCAGTAGCTTGTAAATAAATAAAAATAAAGTTCTCTTTGCGCAGCAGCGTGTTGTTGATCCGCCGCCTCTTTCTCCTCGCACGTCAGGAAACTTGTTTGCAAATGCACAGTTGACGATGCGATCGCACTCGAGGCCGATGAAAGAGAAGATGCGGAAGCCACTGTCGATGAGCACGAGACACCAGGCGCACTTGTAACGACAAATTCTTGCACCGGCGGAGCAGGAGTCCCGTTGCTAGGCGCGTCGATGCGACCACTCTCTTGCGTAGATGAAGCAGAAGCTGCCCCACAGGTACCGTCGGCGCGATCACCGTCGGCGCACGTGCGAGCGGAGAGCCTCGCCGCGCGGACAAGCTTCATAGCTCGCTTCCTTGCACCGAACGATTGTAGCGTCTTCTTTTTCGTTGGGCGCATCGTGAGCGAACACAACAACAGTCTCGTATAGACGGTTGAAAATCGTCTCGTAAAGACGGTTGAAAATCGTTTCGAAGACAATTGAAACGTGGAGAGTATGCGAACGGCTGCAACGATACACGGAAGCGAGCGGAACACAAAGACGCCGGACGGAAGAGCAGCAGACGAGCGGCCGCATCGGCCGCATTATGCGCAAGAGCGCTACGTCATCGCGCGCAGCAGCCAATGGCAGTCGCGGGCTCCCCCGTGTCCTTGGGGAGCGCGCGCTTCGCCCAATCCCAGCTGCGCGCCTCAGCCGCGGGTAACTTGAAAGCTCTCGCGAGCCCTCCAATCATGAGCGGCTTGCTCCTCTCCTGCGCTGCCGCCGGCGACGCAGGTGGCGGGGAAAGAAAGAGCAAGAATTCACAAACAAAACAACACCAAAATGGCGGCGCTCCGTCGAGCGGTCGAGAAACTGCGATTACGCCAAGTTGGGGTATTTTGAGCGCTCGCGCGCCGCTCGAGGGCCGCCGCGGCATGTTCTAAACTTTATTTCAAATGGTTTCGCGACGAATTAGACGTTGATATTTACAGAAAAGGTAGTTTATGACACATACTGCCCGAATATGTGGTTTGCCAAAAATCGACTTTTTCGCGATTTTTCGGTTTTCAAAGGCCGCGTCCCCCCTTAAAGCAACGTCTTAGGTTAGGAACGGATGGACGCACACAAAGTTTTACGTAGCGGGTTTCGAGTGTCTGGGGTAGAATGTTTGAATTTGAAGTAAGTATTACGTGCTTTGTTGCAGTTTCAGTGTTGTTGCGTCCGATTTTTATGCGATGCACATGTGTTATGCCTTGGTCCTTCCATCCGTCAAGGAGTTCCTCTTCGCTTAGTGTCATAAGGTCTTGATCGGATACAACGCCCTTCACAGTATTCAGAGTACGATGTGCAGTAACTGATACAGGGGTATTGCAAAACGCTACGAGGTGTGAAAGTTTGTTGTACTGTTCTTTGTCTTTTAATTTGAAGAGAATGTCCCCGCTTGCCATCTTTGAGGCCTTATAGCCAGTCCCAATGGTGTCTTTTAGGCACTTGGCCACGAGAAAAGGTGATATTGCTCTGGCTTTAGTAGATATTTCTTCACAGTGAAGAACATGGTATCTTCGGAAAGTTTGAATATCTTGGGGGAAAAACAAAGAGGATGCATCGATGCATACCCTTTTCAGGGCACGATCGGTTACAGGAAAGTTCTGAGGTCCCATGAAAAATGGCTTCTTTGGTAGCGGTGCCTACCACCAACCACGGAGCCCAACAAGGAGACGCGGCAGATCATGTGAACAAGTCTGCCCTACGCCAGCAGTACGCCATTGCTACAACCGAATATGGTTTACACTAGGTAGGATAGCCACACAAGGTTAACCCTAGCCGCCAGAAAATAATGAAGTAAATAGAAAAGAGAAGAGTACAGGACAGATTTAAAGAGGAGAAAAAGATGAAGATGTAAGAAGAGAGAGACAGGAAAAGGCGACTGCTGATTTCCCCTGGGTGGGTCAGCCCAGGGGTGCCGTCTACGTGAAGCCGGGGCCAAAGGGGTGTGTTGCCTCCACCGGGGAACCTTAAAGGTCCAATAACCCAGCGTCGGCTCAACCCCCAGGATCCCCTTTTTCGCGAACACGGCAAAGCCACGCACGGCTAGGCGTGGGAGGGAGTCAAAAGCCCCCCTGTAAGCTCGGGTTTGTGGTGACGCTACCCACGGAACGACTGCTCTCGCAGATGCCCCTGCGAGGCTGCTGCAGTGAGTGAAGTGACCTTCGTGCGCTCTGCAAGTTCCAACGCAAACTTCGCAGTGAAAGCTCTAGACATGCGAACAGCTCCCTTTCCAAGATAAGCACACGCGCAAGAGCAACCATGCCTCAAAAAAAAAAAGTACAGCTAGTAAAGGTAGGAGGCCCATTCGCATCTCAAACAGCGCGATGATGATCTTTAAAGTGCACCCTTAGTGCCCTTTGTGTTGTCTCACTGGGATAACGACAACATAGTGAAGTACCTCCGAGCTCTGCGTATCACCGGCGGTAAATGGTGTATAGAAATGGCTTGCCATTAGTGTAGTGAAGAATCTATGCTCTGTAGCAGAGTTGTTTAGCACTGCACGCTGTGGAGTAAAGGGTCGTCAGTTCGATTCCTGTCAAAATAACTTTTTCTTTTAGTTTTTTTTCTTCATTTGTCACTACATTTTATAATGTAACATCTGTGACAGAAATACATAAGTGAAGTCATGGTGAACCCCAGCATCATAAAACACTCTCGCATTAAAAACATTTTTTTCTTTTCCACAACTACTGTATTTCACCTAGCTAAAGAAAGACACTTTTCAGACTCACCTCAAGAGGCACTTGGTAAACTCATTGTCGTACTTCTTGAGCTTCTCATCAATGTACTCGAGCACAATTCGTATGACACGGACTATCGTCAGGATGAGGGAGCCAAATGCAACTGATCCCAAGTGGTACCTGAAAGGAAGAGAGTTGTCACTCAAAAGGAGGCACCTACTGCCACATTCTTGACTTACTCTATTCAGGGTTAATTAGCGACGGATCAAAAAGAAAATTTCTCACACAAAAATGGCAGCACGTTGCACTCTGTGCAACATATGAAGGCAAAAGCCAGCTGCAGATTTGGTAATAACTTACACAATTGGAGATCAGACGTCCTTCAACAGGACGTAACGAACGCAGTGTGAGAAACACGCAATAAATTTCAGCAAACTGTGGTATCATGACGACACCATCAGGTGATGTCACAATAAAATTGGGAATAACAGCCATCTGTGCCATCATGAAAATGTCATCATGTGACGTCATCGCTGGCTCTGAGGTCACATGGGTTTTTGAACACTGCCACAGGCCTTGAGGGACCTTACGAGACCTTCGCAAACTTAAAAGGTGTCACGAAGTCTGATGGACAGAAGTGCCAAAATGGTCATGTAAGGCCTAAAAAATATGCTTCACATTGCATCTAGTGCCTCTTGTCTTGGCAAGTTTCCCATCTTCAATTCCTATTTGAACAGGAACGTTTCCTTTCCACAGTTAATGACTGACATATCAAATGTCTATATAAGGGAGCCACAACAACTCACAGGAAACAATCTAATAGCACAGCACTTCTGGGTGTGGGCATCAAAAAGACATTACAACAACATTCAGTCTAATCAATACTGTACTGTGTCCCCATCCCTGTGCTTCTCATAATATAGCTGAACAGTCAGGACTACAATGCTTGAGAAAACACTGCTAAAATAGAGATAACATGCAACTTGCTGTGAAGAAAAAATTAGAGTCGTAAAGTAGAACCCCGATTATAAGATTTTCAGGGGATCACGCAAAACTGTCGCATAATCCGGGCGTCGTATAATCGAAGAACTAAGATCATAGGCAGTGACACTCAGCCTTGCCTGAAAAACGTTTGCAAACCACCTGAATAAACGGCACAACCTTGTGCCTCTGCAAGGAAGGTTGATTAATTATCATTACCAGTGCCAGCTAATGGAAGCGTTACTGAGTTGAAGGAGGTGCAAGCAAATTTTTACTGTTAACCTTAAAAAAAAAATTGAATCCAATGCCCATCTTTCTACTGATAAATGTCTGAAAATTGCCTGCACGTGAAAAGGAAACCAAAACCGAAGTGCAAACAGCCTCCTGTTAGACTAGTCAGCCAGTGTCATTGCTATCACATAATGGCGACGGACCACGAGTTCGCGTAGAATGCCTTCATGTGCGACTGAGATGTGCGCCTTGCAATATGTAGGCTTGTGAAGTGCAACTAGTTGTGTACCACTGTTATTGTGAATGTTCACATCAAGTGAAAGTAATTTTATATGGTGAAAACAGCAGCGTCGCGCCCTTATGTGTGCACAAGGCTGTGACTGGGACAAAGGCAGGCGATCAGCTGTATGTCGACCAGGAAAAGTTTACGCGGACCGAAAACGTGAAAATAGCTTTTCGACTAGCTGAAGCTACTGTGTGTGGATAGAGCTTGACTAGGTAAAGACCCCGGATACAGCGCACGTAATCGAGGTGTATGCAGAACTACATAAAATACATTTCTCATTCTAAGAAGACATCCTCTCTCATTCTAAGAAGACATCCTCTCTCAGTCACTACATTTACAATCATCCATGTAGGGTAACACAAGCTCATATTTTGCACTCATTAATATTGGTCAATGTTTGATTAGAGTAAAGGTGGCTTTTTCTTTCAGATGGAATCTGAAAGGTCGTCGTAAGATGCGGGGTCAGCGTAAAACTGCGTCATAAAACCAAGGTTTTTAATACATCTATGGGGATTTTACCGGGACCAAACCGGTTCGTTGTAAAATGGGGGTCATCGCCAAGCCGGGGGACATATAATACAAGTTCCACTGTATGCGTCTTCAGCTATTCTAGCTGTAAATATGAATAACTGGAGTAAAGTGCAGTCATTTGTCTTTGGCAGAAGTATGGTGGACCATGCTACTTTGAGAGAATGAGAGTCCTCGTAGTCAGATATGCGTTCCACAAGAATGGACGGATGACACAATGATTTCACAGTGTCTCTCAAAGATTATGATGCCCATAAGGTTGTGCAAATATTCAAATGCTTTCAATATTCGAACAAGTAGTAGAGTATTCAAATTCGCTTCGATGCGAATGTAAGGTATTGAAAATTTTGAAGTATTTGCAATGAATAAATAGATGTACATTAGTCTGTAACTTGTAAAGATGGTTTCACTGCAATGTAGGAATGCTAAACCGTGAAAGCACCTTTGCAGGAGAAATTTAATTTGCCGCGAAGCTTTACTTTAAACTTAAAGGGGCCCTGCAACATGTTTTGGAGATGATCAGAATACGCTGTCGATCGGTAGTCGAGGCTAACGAGAACACACGAGCCAAACATTACAGTGCAGCACACGGCCTGCTATTCACAATAAATTCTCAAACTCAACTGAAAACTGCTTTCTTTTGGCAAATGATGCCACAAGCTCAAAAATGACTCATCACAGCCATTGTATCTGCTATTAACCAATTCGAGCATGGTGCAGTCAGTGGTTACTGAGGCCGCCGCGGGAGGCCAGAACTTGTCCACGTGTACGTGCGTGATCGCACTGAAACGTGGTGTATTCAAAGAAAAAAAAGAGAAAAGTGCTCAATGTCACGAGGCGCATATGACATTTTCTTTCCCTGCCATGCCATCCCTCCCCACTTAGTTTCCAGCGCTTTCGTCAGGACGGGAAGAGAGAATGCAATTACAGCGGGTGAAAAATTTTTGCAACTGCGCTCGTATGGATGGACTCTGAAAATTCTTACAGCGGTGAATTCCTGAGGCAATAAGCTTCTTTAGTGAATCCATTCCACGGCTACTTGAAAAAGCAGTGCAGGGCCCCTTTAAATAAACATATTACCCTCAAATAGATTCATAATTTTTTTTTAAGCTTAAAAGCTTGTCATGACAACTTATATGCTCTAAGTATAATAAATTTTAAAATGTCAAGTATTTTATAGGTTATTACTTGCATCCTACCTAAAGTCAAATCCTGCTACTGCTCAAAGTTGCTTCGACTTCCTTTGAACGAAAAAAGAAAAAGCATTTCCATTGAGGCCCTATTCAATTAAAAAGAATATTGTGCAGGTAAATTAGGTCATGACAGATATGCCCATTTTTTTTATTATATGTCATATATACTGTTTAAATTTCATTAGAAATCATTTGACCAAAATAACTATTCGCTTCAAATTCCCTTAGAACCTAAAATTCTTTATTCTTTATTCTTTATTCAGTGAGTACCCCGCTTTGCTCAAAAAGGCGTTACAGCAGGGGGGTTACAGACTGGAATAAAACAATTCTTCGTTTATACAGCACACTTGCTCGTCTTGCAGCTGGTTCCAATCTCTAATGGTCATCACAAAAAAGGAATTATAAAACATGGTCGTTCTTGCTCGATACTCTTTCACTTTGCGTCGGTGGTCATGTCGACTAGATATGTAGCTGGGTTCACTGAAATAGTTATGACGGTCAATCCCAGTCCGCCCATGAAAACAGAAAAGAAAAACTTCAAACGCAGTTTTTTCCTGCGTAAAGAAAGCAATTCCCAACCCAATTCAGCTTTCATAGCACTGCAGCTGTCTCTCCGCTCGTACCGCCCTAAAACAAACCGCGCAGCTCTGTTTTGTATTTTTTCAAGCTTATCAATCAAGTTCGCCTGCATTGGGTCCCACACAGGACATGCGTATTCCAAAATCGGTCTAATACATGTGAGATAGGCCGTATTTTTTAATGTTCGGGGTGCCAATCTTAGGTTCCTCTGAATGAAATTTAGAGCCCTTGCCGCTTTGCTAACAACGTGATCAACATTGGCATTCCATGAGCAATCATGCGACAAAACAACGCCAAGATATTTGCATGTTGGTTCGGTAATAACAATATGCGTATCTATGGTGTACGCCGTTACTATTGGTTTCTTTTTTTTTGGAAACTCGCATATGAACGCACTTTTTGGGGTTTAGCGTCATTTGCCACTTCTGGAACCACTGTACAATACAATCCAAATCGTTCTGCAAATAAGCACAGTCACTATTCATTATTCCAATTCATTATTGGCACAAGCCTAGATGCCCAGCTTTAGGTATGTGACTGCCAAGTTTTTGTATTTCCTAGATTAGATTCTGTTATTTAAATGGGCAAAGCAAAACTCGCTCCTTCTTCCTCATCAACAAGAATTTACATTACTTAGCATTTGAACCAACCACAGCTCACATTTTTCACAGCAGAAGTGTTATTGTAGCAAAGCACAAGCCTCACTGCAGAGGCATTTTACAAAGCCCATTCTGCGATAACTAGTTCACCAATTTTATTACAGGTTTAGGTACATAACAAGTGATTAGATTAACATTGTTTAATTTGTGTCTCAGTTTTACTGAAAGCTGGCAAAAATGTGCCACCTTGATTATTGCAGCTAGAGCTGTTTTTCAACCCACAGTTAAAGTATGTCTCGAAAGCTCCAATGAATTCTGCATACAGACTTATCAAAGCAGCAATTTTTTATGGTTAAAAGTAATTACAATAATTTCTTTTTTTTTTTTGTAGGTTTAGCATATTGTCACGGCTAAAGGCCGGGCAAGAAGACAGAGTATGATGAAGTGATGAGCGTGGACAGCACCCACGGTTGCTCCGAGGAAGACGTCGCCGAAGCGGCTGCTCTTTTGTTCTGTTAGTACAGACCTCGTTTTTCCTGGTCGCACCGTCGTCCTGTATCCTGTTATTTTCAACTGGCGACGTTGGTGGAGGTGCTGGACTTCTCCAACTGATGCTTGGGACACCTCCTAGCCCTGGCACATCGAGTCCGCCACCCCGACCCGTTCCTGCAGTGGATACTCCCGTCCACCGCTACAGTCGCGACAGCGAGGGCTTAGTCCCGAAGCAATCCCACTCGAACTTCTCCAGCAACACACCGTGCCTGGAGAAATGGCTACCGGAGG